TGGAGACGAAGTCAACTAACAAGACACCTATTTGCATAAGCCATAAGTGGGCAAGGATTTAAATACAGTCGAGCAGACCCGTAAAGGAAGCATTTAGTATAGAATCTAGAATACCGCTACTCGATTACCGGTAGGTCACGATTTAAATTGAATGCAACTCATATTTTGCAGACAGGTTGCTGGAATTAATACGTAAGAGGTTAACAAAAATGAAATTAACCGCAGCTTCGTTGCCTAACGTTACGGTGGAGAAGCTGTTCAATATTCTTCGCATAACTAAAATTTAAAAGTTCATTAATTGAACTGGGAAGTACACGATTTGTATAACGGGTACCTACCAGTTCATTTTCCATTACATTGTTACGATGTTTAAATAAGGAATCGCATGCAAACCAATTTGATGACCACAGTTTGACCTTTGTTTTTCAATTATGATAATTCCGTACGGTTCCACAACATTGGGCAGTTTTGGGACTATTTTTTGGTTTCGAAAAATGAGTCTTCGCCCAGTTACCCAATAACGCATGTGTACGGTACTGACGGTCCATCTGATTCTCAAGGAAAATATTGGTCGAAATAATTTCGATGGGATCGAAACTCGATTCAGGATAACCGGTACTTCAAAAAGTACAAGAAGTATCTGAAACTACAATATTCAAGACTACGCGTAGATTTTGGCATGAAAAAGTCTCTACTCATTTCCTAGGCTCCTTACTCCAGAGCAGAAACTAACAAGGAATAAAATTGTCAGAGGTTTTTGGACGCTTTGACGAATTTTTCGCGGATTATCACATGCAACGAAACAGGGGTATTTATTTCAATGGGAACCTTTCACGAAATAGGAATCATGCAGTGGTTCTACTCCCAAAAACCCAGCCTTTACCTGAAAAATTAATAGCGACCATGTTTTTGGACGATGAGGGCGCTTTGCTTATTGAATATAAGGAAAAAAGGAACCACGACTAATGGTGAGATTAAGGCACCTTATGGAATTGCTGCCTACTATTCCTACTGTACAATAGAAACAGACGGACAGACACCATGAATGAGCTGGGTCGCTGGTTAATAAACATGCTAAGTTGCTCTTTATTACTTTTGTAATTTCGTTAATTTTTTTTGAAATTGGTAAAATTTGTGGTGACATACTTTCTGATGCCTAAACGTATGGATAAAATACGAAACGCCCTATATACAATAATGGTGATAACCCTAAGACTTTGACCGTTCTGCGTAGATGCCGAGAGCAGGGATTTTCGCGACGAAGCTTGTAGGGGTTACTCAATGTTTAATTGAAAGTGGTAAACAATATATCCACATTTGAAAGTTTCATCACAGGTGTACCATAAGGGACCACTGTTATTCACTGATACACCAACTTTGGTAACTAGCCGTCAGTACGCACGTTTACATTTGTACACCTGTCAGTATCTAAATTCGGATCTGGTCAGGTAGTGCGCTAGAATCGTAGTTGTTACTGCTGGTAAAGTTTATGTTTTGTTTTATTTGTTTAAGTTTTTCTTGTTACATAACGCATATATATCATTTAAACAATAATTATGGGTTGAGTGGAAGAGCAACGAATAATTTTTATTACAACCTGAACTCCTCTCTTTGAGTTGGTATTATTCCTGTCGTTTTCTGTCCAATATTTTATAGCTGCACCTCAATAAAGGCATTATTATTATTTTGTTTTGAAAAGTGCAATTACAGTTAGTAATCATTTTATTCTTTCTCGTACATTAATCTTTAAATTTCGTGTCACAATTTAGTGTTTACATTTTGCATTAGACTTTGATATTTGTTTATGGAAACATGGTGGGCTCAAACTTTGTGTTTTAAGTACCCGAATCATGTTTATTTATTTATAATGTATAGGTTATGCCTTTCTCCTATTTATATATATTATTAGTATGGTTTTGATGAGTCTCGTGTCCGCTGCCGGTTGGCGCGCAAGCAAAAGAAAAATAGGGGCCCTATAATTAATTTTTCTTCGGTTTAGTATGTGGGTTTTCATTGTGCGATAATCGACTTTACCTTGAATACTTGCTGCTTGCATTCTCACATGCACATTTCATATTAAATTGATAGCAGCCGATGCTGGCATAGAACCATTCCATTTTGATGTTTTTCATATACATGCAATTTATCATTTTACAAGTTGTTTATCTAAATTGATTTATATTGTTTGCATTTTGTATTTATGATTTCGTTTTTTAAAATTCGTTTAACTGCATTTGACTCAATATGTGATTTTTACCACCTGCATGATATAAGGGAGGTATTGCATTGGGGTAAAAAAATGACCTCTCACTTTTTTTACGGAATTACACGTTTTGAAGCACCATCAAGATCCGAATCAAAAAAATCTTGATGGTGGCGGTCTGTCGGTCTGTTTGTACTCTCATTTCCGGCTAAACGACTGAGTGCTAGTCACAGCAAATTTTTATTGTACGATTTGAGGTGTTTGATGTTTGATTTGCGTATTATTCCCTTACATTTTGTTATAGTTGATTTATTTCTTGCATATGCGTGTTATATCAGGTTTTTTGGCGCCACGATGGTTTTCCTGGTTTTCTCGTGCGTAATATATTTTATTTTTTCTTGCCTTCTCTTACCCACAAAACTCTTCGTTTTATTCAGCTCCCTGGCCGATTGTGTCCAAACACATCAAAGAATCATCACAATGTAGTTGGAGTTCTATTCGTACTAACCTGTACGATTCGATGGTTACCGAGATTTGAAAGTGGTGCTAAAGGTCCGTCATTTTACAATAAAAGTTAGATGGATCTCCCCAGAGTTTCATTTGAATGGCAAACGTCAACCGTATTGAGTTCCTTCTTGTGAATATATAACGTTAACTAAAATAAAGGGATGTTTCTTAGTAGACTTACCTACTACTCGCGTGAAATTGATATAACCCATTGAATGCAGTTCACAGCATAGAAAAACTTATGTTGGAAGGCGCTATTATGGCCACTTTCTCCGTCCGTTCGTCCGTCCGTTCGAGGACTTACTACTCCTACAGTTTTCAATATATTTAGTTCGTGATGTTTGCATTCGGTAGCTTATATAGCTCTGGCACAGGAGTCAAGAAACATTTCGATGATTCATTTGCGCAATGCCAATTTTCTTGTTTATAGATATTTTTTTAAATTTTAACCAAAGATTCTTATAGTAAAGGCAAACATATCGTATATTTTAAACATCAGGGGTGACCATGCACCAACTGCGCAATTCTAAGTTTCTTGTTTATAAAAAGATTAACTTATTTTCCTTTGTACACATAAATAGTCCGTTATGACCTTTCGGGAAGTACTGATCAATTAACGGAAAATGCTCTAGAAAACCTTTTTTTCATTTTTATAATAAAACCTCGCTTTTTACAAACATCGTTCTCCAGAGCCAAAAATTACCAAAGCAACCCCCATTTCAAACTGAGAATTTGAATTACCTTGTTTTTTTTAGATGAGAAAAATCATAGATCTAAGTAACTACAAAACTGACACTGGTTTTCATACGGACGCGGAGCTTGTGCGACTAGTCCAAGATCCTACATATTGTCAAAATTCACCCATCTGTTTTCCGAGTGAAATACATTTTTTAGCAATCTTGATAGGTATGTAAACAAACACATTGCAAATGGGTTGCCTAAAAAAATTCAGTCAAGGCTGCCCTTAATTAAAATTATTGTAAGTCATATTTCTGTCTGCTTCTAGAAAATGGAGAGCGCGTTACATTTAGACCAAATTTAATTTGAGAAAAATGCGCTATTGGTGCGCTCTTTGCTCGTCTTTCTTTATTTTCCTAAAATAATCGTGACGCATCCGTCATTAAGTAGCGGCCGTTCGCACGATATCTCAAAAACGATTTGAAATATAAAGCTCCACACTGAAACTGATACACGAATATTTCTGTGGTAAAGAATGTGAGATATGTCCGTTCGTTTGCGTAAGGTTCGAGACCTCAACACTGGAACGTCGTATATGAATGCACCAAGAAACGGTTTTTGCAAACTACTTAAGTCCAAATTTGAACAAAATTCAATGGTGGTCTAGGGGAAGAGGAGATTTTTGCATATTTCTGCCCTGGCTATATCAGGTTTCGCCGGAAGTGATCCGGTTTTGAATTTTTAATTAGGACACCCTGTATATTTTTACATTTTTTGATTTCTGCGACATTCTAGATCACGATGTAAACTGTTTAAGTTTTTACTGTAAGAAGTAAATGAATTATTATGTATTTTTATTAATTTTCAATTGCATTCGTCTGGTTAGGTTCTTAAAAGAATTTTTTTTTTCGAAACTGCTTGTCAAAAAAGGGTTCCCTTTTGAAAAATAATAGACACAACAAACGTGATTTGCCAATATGTGTTATTCCTATCTATCATACTAGTTACTAAAGCTGTGCGATTGTAATTTTCTTCCATCATCATTTACGTCGGATCATCGCCCCTAGATGCAATATTATATTCAGTGGGCATACAAACTTTTTAAAATGTCACATTCTCATTCAGAATTGTCTCAAAAATCCTTTAAAGTAGCTGCTGAGCGAAAGAAGCCATAAAGGGAAAGCTGTACAAAGAGGTTCCATAATGAATTTTGAATTTGATCCTATTTTTGGAAATGTGCAATGGAATCACGAGTAATTGATTATTAAGACTGTAAATAGAGTAAACGCCAGCTCAAGATGTTAACTAATGGAAGTAATTCAAAAATAAAGAGGAACTACGAGTGTAATTGAGGGTGAGAAGTTGAAGTAAGAACTGAATCGAAAGTACCTGAGAATCTGCATTGTGTATGTGTAATACCTACTCATAGAGAAGCCTTCCGGTTTTAGCAATCTTAATTGCAGATGAACACTGTTCTTTTGCATGTGCAATAACTATTTCAAATTATAAATAAATTACTGGAACTATTTGGTTATGAGAACTAATTTCTACGTACATAAATGTATTATAAGCGCATGAAAATTGATAATTGCAGTATAAATAAATTCAGTACCTGGTCAGGCCTAAGCCCAGCTGGAACCCACGTGTATTCTTCCAGAGCACAGCCAGAATCGTCATCCGATTGGGAGTGTCGTTGTGGGTCGCCCGTTGCGGGCGCAAAAGGTGATCCTTTGCCCAGTAAACGATCGGTTGGATCTAAGGACGGCAATTTTCCACCAGGAGATGGCAAAGCTGGCGGTGAAAGGGGAGTGTTTACTCCCCCCTCATTTGATGTCATACCGCTTTCAGACCACTGACAGTAATTACGGCATACTGATCTGAAACAAAGAGAGAAAGTATTTATAAATGCACAAAATTCTTTTTCTATTAGGGATCTATCATTAAAGATCCCACATCCCGGTTGTTGTTTGACTTGTTCGTTACAAAAGATATTCGTTCTACATTCATTTCCACTAAAAAGTATACTCTGTAATGAGGAATTAGTAAACTTCTTGCTGAAGTCGGTTAACATTTCAAAGTAGATAGGTATTGTCAATACCGAAAGGGCAATTTTTTGTTTATTGCACTCTAATAGCGAATATTCCAGAAATCGCGATAGATATCGAGGGGCCATGAAACATTAACTGTTGTACATACAACTTTACATACAAAATGGAATCTGTGGCATAAAATGTTAGTTTAATAAAAGTAAAATAGACAATCTATGTTTACATTTGATTAGAAAATGAAACGTCGACTTCGGGTCGGCAACAAGTGCAGACGTGCATTTAAGTGCTGTTTAAGTAACGAACTCGTAACTTTGTAACGCGAGGCATAATTCAAACTTATATTCGAGGGTTAAGCGGAAGTTGTCTTTATCAAGACACAAATAACGCGCGGGGATCTAATTAAATTGCGAGGTCAAGACAGTGTAGGGATCCAACCAACAAGACAACAAGGACATAAGGATAACTGCTAGAATTGATACTTGATATCTAGAATTAGAGGATCGGCGAAACGCTCAAGGACGCAGCAGGGAAAACAATTGGGGGACATAAAGCGCCCATGTCACGGCCCTTTCGAGGCGGGCAACACCCAGTGTTAGCCCCCCCCCCCCCCCCCGCACACAATCCACAAAATCCACCACATTGTTTGGCATAAATATGTCGCGGCCCAGCGCAATGGCAACAAAAGTATCCCCACGACAGTTGACTAAATTCTAGGAGAGGCGATTACGCCAGGCATATGCCAAAAAAAGAAATTGGTTCCAAAAAGGGGGTGAAACTTTGAAAATCAAGCTAGATTCAAACAGAGCAGAGCGATTATATCTTTCTTATAGGTACCTTATCAAAATAAACCCAAATTTATGCGATACGACGAAATGGTAGTTTAAAATTGTTACAAAAAGGATTTTCAAAAATCTAAGTGTCCTTTAATTGAACAATCACCGTAACCGTTGTAGACGCGATGTAGGTAGGTATTAAGCTTTCAGATGTGATCTTTATCTGGTCGCCCTGAGTAGTAAAATTGCCAGGAAATTCAATTAACCAGCAGTCGGAAATTAAAGTAAATAAACGTCGTCGCCATTTAATGTGATGAGCTAATTTCTAAATCCTACACGCTTTAGTATGTTGCAGACTGATCAATGGAACTAAATCGCAGGTACCCGAATAATTTTCTCATCTTTCCAACCTAAGTATAAAATTTCAGTTCGGACTTTTTAACCGAAATTGATGATTCGGCATGGATTCGCCGCCGAACACGACTAGAAAAAGGACTAATGGTGGCGCTAATCCTCGCAAGTGCGGCCATTTTGGGTTTTTTCATCAATATGGTGACATTTGACGTTGGTAAGTGGTAATTTCGCCGATTCTCCTTGTTTGTTGGATTTTTAGAAAACGAAAGAGCGTGTCATACTCCAAATTGCGTCGTGGCGGCTGCGCATATTGTAAGTCATATTGACGAAAGCGTCGATCCCTGTGACGATTTTTTTCGTTTCGCCTGTGGGAAGGTCCTAAACGTAACTCCCCGAGAGCATCACCCCAAAAGGTTACTGGATTACAAAATTGAAAAGCAGTTACAAAATCTGTTAGAGGAACCTATTCGCCAATCTGACCCCGCCATTTTAAACTACGAAAAGCGTTTCTACCAAGCATGTATCGAAGATAAGAACGGTTCCAAAGGGCTCAAAACGTTGAAGGGCATCTTTCAAGATTTGGGCGGATGGCCGGTTGTTGTCGGTAGCAGCTGGGACGAGACCAAATTCAACTGGTTAGATTGGGTGCCCAAATTTTACAAACACGGTTTAAACCACATGCAGATTCTGCGCTACACCATCGAGTTTGAAAGTGAAAACTCAAACAAACGAATTATAAAAGTAAACTAGTCATCGATCAATTATCGTTTTGTATTAACTCTTCTTCAGATACTGCCACCATATCAATTTTTAATCGAGCGTACTCGGGAGATACAGCGGAGAATGTTAATAGAGGTGGCCACCCTTTTTGGTGCCGAAGAAAAAACCGCCAATAGCGAAATGATAGAAGTGATGGATCTCATGTGGAACATCGATAAAGTTAAGTTATTTGCATGAACCATTATCGTAACGTGCTTTATTTTCAGTTGAAGGAGGAGTACATCAATTATTCTCATCCAATAACCCAACTCCCTGCAAGGGAATTTCAGAAAATACACACGGAATTGGACTGGTTGCACTATTTCAACTCTTTAACGAAATCAGAAAACATAATCAAGATGGACGAGTATTTCTCCTTCAGGCACACGGATTGCGTTAAGGCTATTCTGGGTTTGGTACAGAGGACTCCTAAGAGGTGAGATTATTCACGTGTCTGATAACTCAACTGAAAGGAATGTGCAGAACAATCGCCAACTATATGTTTTGGTGTGCGGTGGAGGATCTCTTGCCAGTATTAACAACCGATATCATTGAAATGCACAACATTCAAGAATGCCTGTGGAGTTCCTCGAGGAAGACACGCTTAGAAATGTGCAAAAGATTCATCCGACAAAAGTATTAGCTTCCTAATTTATGCAAAGATTCTAGGTTGGTTTTAGTTTCAGTCCCATGTCTTTATATGTAGCATATGCAAAGAAATATTTAACTAGCGAATCAAAAACACAAGCTACAGACATTTTTAATCGGGTAAAAAAGGAGTTTAAAAAACTATTTGAAATTTCTACATGGATGAGTGAAGGTAATAAAATCAATGTAACGAATAGTTTTAACACCATGACCGAAATAATTGGGCTACAACATGAGACGTTGAATGTGTCTATGTTTGACGAGTTCTTCAACAAGCTGGTTACTTATCTTGCCAACACACGAATATAGTAGCTGAACTAAATTGTTGTAGAAATCGAGAGACGAATTTCTGAAAATGTATTTAAATCTAAATTCGGTAGTTAATGAGGTAGCGTATACAGTTCTGCCAAAGGATCGATGGATGCATGATTTTGTATACTTCAATTTCATAACTGATGTGGAAACTATTTACATTCGATCTAGAAATACTATAAGTAATTGTACTGAATTATTAGTAAGGGCGCGTTTAACCTCTTTTTTAGTTATTCCAGCAGGAATGCTACAAGATTGGTATTATGACGAAGAAAAACCAATGTACGTTAACTTTGCTACGATTGGAAAAAACATTGGAGCTACATTTGCTAATATGGTCACTGGAGTGCATGTATTTGGAGACGATGCGGCAGATTGGTCGGAAGAAACAAAAAAGGGGTTTGAGGAAGTCACCAGTTGCATCCGTCATAAAAACGAAGTCGACCTCATGGTACGGCACGAATAAAGGTATAGATCAATTGCTAAACCGCCAAACTTGCAGGCAGAGTACTACGACTACAAGAAATTGGAGGTGGGCCAAATCACCGGTCTCAAGGTCGCTTACAATGCATATCTAGAATGGATGAAAGATAATCGCGAAGAAAAACCATTAAAGGGAATCGGGTACACTTCGAAGCAGTTGTTTTGGATTTCCGCTGTGACGGATTCCTGTCACGAAGACGATTACGGTTTCACATTGTTTGTTTACAACGAGCCTATAAGACAAAATATAAATTTTGCCAAAGATTTTGAGTGCGACGGTAGTTCCAAAATGACTTCCTCCAACAGATGTGAAATTCTCTAAACGGAAAACTAACCGAACCCATATCATAAACAAAATTTCTCGTTTTGCAAACTGTATTGTTAACTCGAAATGCCAAAAAGTTTATTCAATTAAAGTTGGAGAATGACATGTATTTGTGAACCTCTATTAGTGTATGTACCGGAAATTTAATTAACCAGTCAATTTTAGATGTAATTTTAAATCTTACGTATTTTATTTAACAAAGCAAGAGTGAAATTTTCTGTACCAGAAAACGACGTTATGCTAGAACTTATGCCTAGGTAATTTTGACATTTTGGCGGAAATTACTTAATTTTTTTAACCAAAGTGCAGGTAATGAAGAGGAGAGGGATGCGCTACAGTGTTATCAACAAAGAACAAAGTTGGAAAAGAAATTACTCGTCGCCTCTATTTTTGTGGGTGCTATACTTATTGGTTTTATCGTCGACTTCTGTCTTACAACAAACGGTAAGTTTAAACAATTCATTCTTCGCTAATTAGTTGATCTTAGTAGTGTGAGTTAGGGAAAAATGTCAGCGCGCTTCAAGGAAACAACTTCTTCTTGAATAGGGATTGGAATTTTTAGCCTAAAACCTATACAGTGGGATGTTATGCTCAAAATTTACATTAATTAATTAGTTACATGTAAAAATACCTTGTAATATACACTGTGTCCGAAGTAAGGAGGGCCAATATGCGCATTCTAGAAAAGATAAAAATGTTGAAATTTACGAAATATGTAAAAAAATCGGATTTTTCCATTTTACACACCATTTTTTATTCTGCAATCAATTCTGATTAATTAAGAAAATTCTTATTGCGGACCTTTACAGTGAAATAAATAATTAGCTAGGATCATTAATAGTTTATGTCATCTACGGACATTAAACTAACTGGCCGCCATAACATTAAAAAAAATGTCAGTTTTGGTCTGGTCATTTTGCGTTATTGAAGTATGTTTAGGTTTTCAGTTGCTCGGGGTGCCAAGTTCTCTGTCATTTTATTTCACCAGTCCTTCTTGCAAAAAGCTAAAAAATAAGGCACAAGTGCTAATTATAAAAATAATTTGATGTAGATATAATTTTAAACTTTGTGTTAGAAATGTGTGATCGAAGTATCCGACAATTAAAAAATCTAGGCATTGCGATGGCCCAGCAAGCGGGAAAAATGTAGTGAAATTGGCTTATTTTCAGGAGACCGTTTCGTTTGCAAAAATCGCGAATGTATCATAGCTGCATCCCAAATTATCAAGCAAGTGAATAGGGAAATCGAACCGTGTGATAACTTTTTCAAATTTGCCTGTGGTAAACTTAAAGAAAGATTGCATCACAAAAATGTACCCGAGGATATGTTATTCCAAAAGATCCAAAAGCAGATGCAACACGTACTGGAGGAGCCCATTCACGAAGACGACCACCAGGCGATTAAAGACGAAAAAAGGCTCTATCAAGCGTGCGTGAACGAGCAAAGAAATGGCGTCTCTTTAGAAATAGTCAAATCGTTAATGAACGATTTAAACGGGTGGCCTGTACTGATGGGAACGGCTTGGAATGAGGAGTATTTTCACTGGCCCGAAACTCTGATCAAATTGAAAGGTATGGGTTTGAAACACCACATACTGTTCGGTACTTACTTAACTGAAGAACGCAACACAACTTCTAAAACCATTCAAGTACTTGTTACTGCTTGTGGTGGAGTATTATTGAAACGATGAATTTGCAGATTAAAAACGCAGTAACTTTTGATCCTCGGGAGAATAACATGTACATGTACAAACATTTCTTGAAAGAAAGCGCCATGGTTTATGGCGCGAATGAAACCGAAGCGAGTAAAGAAGTGGAGGACGTGTTTGAATTTATTGGACAATTGCGTCAGGTAACTGTGTCGTTGTGCAATAATCCCCGTCAAGTTTCAACTTTTTAGATTACACGTATTAGGCACAACTCTAGCGAAATTGTACAATTTCCATTGTCCGAGTTTCAAGGTCGTTACCCTCAAATCAATTGGGTGACCTATTTCGAATCAATACTATCGCCAAAGAATATAACGATTGATGATCAAGTGAGCGTCCCATATCATGATTACATGGACCGCCTATTGGAACTGATCCACACTTCTAAAAGGTTTCGTTAAATTGTTATTATACGTGAGAATAATTTGATAGATTTTAGAGCAGTTGCCAACTACATATTATGGAAGGCGATGGGAGAAATAATGCGGCTGACATCTCCAACATTTGTTGATATAATGAATCAAATAGCGTGTGTTAAAGGCTACTTACCCTACGAAGAGACAGAAGAATGCCAAAGGGCTATGTTTGAGATGTATGTATATAGTATACTGTAATAGAGACCTTGACTTTCTAATTTAACTAAACCATCAGTTTTAGTCCAAGGCCTTCGATCGTTAATTACGCCAACAAATACTTCACTGACACAATGCGTACAGGAATAAAGACAATATTCGGTTATGTTTTCATTGAATTTAAAAACATGCTAAAACAGTCTTCGTGGATAGATGAAAATAGTTATAGGAACGTAAGCGAGTGGGTCGACGCTTTGAAATTAATCATAGGAACACCAGAGGATGACTTAGACAAAGTATTTGGAAAGTATAAGCCACTTGAGAATGTAAGCGCGATCGGATAACGATATACTTTCCTAACACTACTTTTAGATACACCAACCGTTTTTAAAAATCTACTTAGAAGATCGAAAGAAAAAGGAGTTGGGACGAAACGACGATCGAACTGACACATCTATGCTCCACCTTGTCGACAGTGGACATATTATATACAAACGAAGCGAACATACCTTCAGTATACTACTTTACTAGTAACATCATTACTACCTACTGATTTTTCAGTGATACCAACTGGATTTCTACAAGGCATGTATTACAACCCAATGTGGCCGATGTATCTAAACTTCGGGGGTATTGGGAAAGCAATAGCAGTTGCTCTAACGACCTACATGAAGGTGCGACAAAACAGCAGTGAATCATGGGCAACACATCTGCATACAGGATTTAAAAATGTGACCGGTTGTCTTCAGGCAACGAAATCATCCGACGATGCTAGCCAGGTTTGCACCAATAAAAACTGGCATATAGCATTGCAAAATACAATTTTAGTTGTACGGTGAGTTCTCACAACAGAATAGAATTGGACAAATCACTGGCCACGCACTAGCTTATCAAGCGTATAAGAAATGGCTCAAGGACGATCAGGAAAACTCGCTAATCGGCCTGGATTACACTCCGGAACAACTTTTTTGGATTTGGACATATTCGCAATCGTGCTACGACATAACGTACGAGACTCCAAGGAATTGGTACGCTGAGAACGAGGTTGTTCGTCAGAATGCTCACTTTGCCACCGACTTTAACTGTGATCACAATTCAGAAATGAATCCTGAAAGAAAATGTAATAGTTTCTAGTTCAAAGTTGTATTTATTCAGTTTTTTTACTTGGAGAGACAAAAAATTAAAAATACAAGATATAGGTATTCAAAACTACTTTTTCTTTATATACTCGTTTAGTTTAACTTTAGTTATTGAGCATTCCTTACACCAGCCATTATCTAGTATCACTAAAAGGTAGTTTTAAATTTTACAACAAACAAATATTTTAGACGAGAAACTAACCTGTGGGTGTAAATAGATTGTGTCGCTTGGATGTGATATGGCAGACGGCTGTATGTTAATTTTATCTGTCAATTATCTCTATTCATTTTAATTTTTTTTTGCTTGAGTTGCATGGCGTTACTCTCATTAATAATTTACGTGAAAAGGGGTCACATTTATGTATGTACATAGATAGATATTGCGACCAAAATACATTTTTTGTGGAGACACGTAGAACAATTTTGCAAATTTCAATTGTTATATTCATAATTAGAATAGAGCACATTTTTTTTAAGTAACACCAAACAAAAAAAATTAGGTACATCCATACATTGATGCTCGACGTCGTCGTCATCGTTCGACTAACGTTGTGGCAGCAACGCGGGCGCCATGGGTTCGATTCCCCGCCGATGCAACATTTTTTTAAATTTGATAAATTATTTCATTTCTATATTTCGTCAAACCAATGCTAATCGTGAATGTAGGATGTCACAAGGTCCAAAGGGTCTGGTATTTCCAGTCTTATAACTATAAAGTGCTTACGCCTCGATTTTTTTGTCCATTGAGACGCTCTCTGGCGCTATCAATCTTTAGTAAGTAGAAGTAAACTTGTAGAAGAGTGAATGTGATATCTTAAATTGAAATATAGTAAAGAATCTCAAAATTGAAAAAAATGCACGAGAACGGAAACAACCAAAGGAATTAGTAAATTCAGCCACTCACGTACTTGTACATAACTACTTCAACACAATACCCAATACGAAAAGGCAAGATCATAAAACAATGAAAATATTGAACGAAATTAAAAAACTCTTTAATGAAACAATGTTGGTCAACTGGACACAGAATGTAAACTAAAAATCCAAAAATGAAAGTTTTGAAAAGTGTTGGGATCTTAAAAATAGATTGAGAACTATGAATATTGAAATGATCCCAACACTTTGTTAACGAAAATGTTATGTTTAACTTTCGAGTTCAGATTCTACTGTGTTCTGTTGACGAAAAGCGTCTTTTTAAATTTTTTGCCTTTTTAGTATTTCATATTGTCACTAAGAAAGCAGAAATCATTTTCTGGTTCGTGACTGCCTTCGGCTCGCTCGGCACATGCTTGAGCGCCCAAGTTCGTGACTGGCACACAAGGAAACAAGTAACCATGCAAAGGTGTCATGAAGATGTCATTGGTTTTGCTCTAACTCAAATATTAACCACCACCATCAGAAAAAAATAGTTCGTAAAATCTAAAAATATTTCAAAACTAAAAAAAATTATATCTCTTACCGTTAATAGTGACCCTCCTTACCTCGGACATATTGTATATCATAATACAATAACAAACAATAAAAACGTCACGCAATAGATACCCAAATTTACGTGTGATTAGTCGAAAATGTTGACTATTTAAAGAAAAAAAATTACCTTCTCCTCTCCACTAACATGGCATTCATCCCGTGTATTTCTGCTAGCAAGAATCCACCAAAATACCAAATTGTTGTTACACAATTTTGATATAGTTACGGACTACGATTTACAAAAACGCATTTCCACAGTTTTTGTCCGAAGCCAAATTCGTTTTCAGTCATTTAACCAAGAAATCCGTCCGTCTGTGTACATGATAACTCTGTCCGCTTGTGTACATGATAACTCGCGAACGGTTTCGAATTTTCCAAATCTGTTGTCGGTAATAAGTAATGGTCAAGGATATAACTGATTACATTTTGGTCAATATACCACCTTTATGCAACTTTCGACATGCAGTGACTAAATGACTTATAGTATATACTTACGACTGCGCGTAAATTAAGCATCATAGGAACCGAGGTGGAGTAACCGACCAACCCTGACGGTCATAACCTGATTTAGTTTAGGTAATTTAACGCCAATTTCTTTAAAATGACATATTTCACGTAAAATTGACCGATCAAGGCTTACAAGGAAGAACACTGCCATTAAACCCCTGAAAGAAAAGTGTAAGCATCTCTGGGGGTAACTGAGTTACCCCGCTCCGGTACGGAAAGGTTAAGGAGTTGATTCTGCCCAACCAGATCAGCATAGCTTGTAAAACAAAGTCTTTGAATGACTTCTATTCGGGGTACCTACATACAAAATTTAAATATCTTAACAAATAAAAAAATTGGATTGTGCAAATTTGGGTTGCTCTGCGACATTTTTTGAAGGAATATTTACACAGAAAACGGGACGGACACTCATATGTTCCTTGTAACAAGAATTATAAAAGGAACACTGTTTTGGACGTTTGGGTAGTTTTTGGGCCGTAACTTTTTGGCCCGTTTGTTTACGTAGTCGAAAAACAATAGTGACCTTTATTATATCCTTAAGAACATGTGTACCAACTTTCAAAGCGATCGGACGTTTCTAACAAAATTATCGTGCACACAGACAGACAGACGGACAGGCAGACAGCAACACAAAATTATAAACGAACTCGAGGATCGTTAATAAATGGCAAAAGTGTAAAATTATGGTACATGATAAAAATTAATTCATTTTTTTAGTAATAAACGCAGAAAAACATCCCTTCTTGATGCAGGCCTCGACACCATAATCAACCAAATCGCGAACAAAATAGAACAGATCTAGTAGCGCCACAGCCGTAGGGACGGACAGACGAACGGACAGGATAATTAGAGACTAATGAATCTCTTCTACACCTTGACGTCCATTAATCCTCAAATTCCATTATACGTGCGTTAAACTAATTCTGACATTCTAACAGAAAGCTTTGGAACGCAAAAGGGAATTTTTGATATGCGAGCGTTACCTTGATGTCCAGGTAGTACCTAGTACTCGACTCGCCAGTGAAGAGTTCAAAATATTTCCCCGGACAAGCTGGAATAAATTTTCTTTTATTTATCAATTAATCAAGCCACTATACTCTAAAAAGGGCCCAACAATTATATTTTTTTCAATTATTATAGTTACTATCTCGATTAATATTAATGTTAATAAAAAAACAGAGTTATCAAAATTAAAGAGCGGTAATTACGACTTTAGAAAGGTTCTGTGATAGTTTTTTTGTACGATCTTTGGTTTTGAAGATATAGGCATCGAAAACTCAAAAGCGAAATTGTGTTTCCCTATTACATTCTCGTATAGACATCCGTAAACACACTCAGTTACTGGTTTTTTGACTTTTTTGTGTTACTAGTTGTTCAATATCCCCAAAGATCCCAATATTAAATTGTTAATTCCTATGTTAATTCCTTTAAGGTGGATTGAACTTTTAATTAAGAAGCTGTTCTATCTTTGACGATTCATCTTTAATTGTGATTTCGAAGTTGAGGATGTTTCGATTTTGCACTGATCTCGTTATTGAGGATTTGAATGGGTATTTGTTACACGTGGCAATTTTGCTAATGCTTTCCTTATCTTGAGACATTCTTTTTAGACATCCGACGAATTTAATAATTTATTGTTAGCATCGTTATTCGTATTAGTTAGTTTCTTCGCCCTCTTATTAACTTGAGTTACGTGTGTTTTGTATTTCATTTCGATTTTGGGAACCTTTTGTTATTTAGATAGTCAATGAATTGCTAATCGATCATTCTCGATTGGGGGTTTGATTAGTTGGGGAATATTAATTGCACATTTAATCTACCAAGAGTTTTGAGTCACGGGATTAATAATTTTGAATAATTGGGTGAATATTTTATATTTGTGGGATTCGCTACCCAATTGCGAAGACAACTTTATTTTGCAATTTGATATTGAGAATACACCAGTATTTCTTTTGGTACCTAAATTGATTTTACTTTTATTATTACCCTCGTATCTTCTCAATTTCATACGAGGCGAGTGATTGAGTGGCGTTCAATCCTATTGGTAAGTGGTAACGAAGTTACGAAGATCCATATCCCTAGACCGAATGAACCCGTGACAGATCTCAAGCTTTCATTGTCCAACCCTGAGCTAGTTGGCTGTTTATGCAGCGGGTTTGAGGTAACGCAGCGCCAACTCTGCCTAGTTTTATAAGCTGCGTCATATAAAGTAGGAACTGGCATTAACTCATTCTATGAATTTCTCCATCCCAGTCTAAGGCCCATTTTTGTTCCCATACCATAACTGTATCTGACAGTAAGTGCGAAAAGAATGCAAGCAAACTGCGTTTTTCGTTGGCGGTAACGATGATAGGTTCGGTAAGCTTTTGTTACGAAACTGCACGCAACATTGGTGTGTATTATTAAATTACACTTTTTTTAACCATAAAGATAAAGTAGAAATTCTTCTCCAACTGTATCTATTATATCTGGAGTCTTTGAATATTTCGAACTCTTGATGCCTATTTAACTCCGAAGCAGGTTTTTTGTAGGAAATCTAATTTTCTTTAATTTCCGTTACTTAATATTTTGTTATTTACAAATATGTCGGATTTATGGCTCAGTGGTAGAGCATTGGGTTATAAATCCGAAGGTCGGGTGTTCGAACCTGGGTTGAGGTGAATTTTTCATCTGTGGCGGAGATGGAAATTACCTTAGGCCAGTTCCGAGCATTCTACCGGCTGCTCCGAATTAGGTTTTCCTGCAGTTTTCCTAATTCGTAAGGTAAATACCGGAGTAGTATAGACCAACTTAAGACCTTCTGCAGAGGCACCTCTAAATAGCATTATGCGGGCCACTCTGTAATTGGGCGCATGCCTGTTGAGGGCCCAAAACAAGAGAGGGATAAAAATAAAATAAAATAAAAAATATTTAAAAAAAAGGATTTTGTAACTCGTTTTTTCCAAATCCGAGGTACCTGAAGGGGGCGAATTAAAAAAAAATTTATTAATACTAAATCAAAAAATTCTACTATAGTAACGCTCTCAACAATAACCAAGATTTCCTTTGCAGAATTGGCATAGGTACCTACGAGTGTTAAAAAGAACAAAAAAACAACAACAAAAAGTATGTAGGAGAACAACATGTTTTGTATTTATTGCTGTAATTATTTTTTGTTATTTAACTA